CCGCGCCCGAGGAGCCGCGCGCGGTGCGCGACCTGCGCTTCTTCGGGCGGCTGCTGCGCCGCGCCGGCTGCCTGCGCCGCTGCCTGCCCGAGCGCCTCTCCGTGTACCAGCTGGGCGAGGAGGCGGAGCTGGAGTTCCGCAAGCGCAGCCCCTACAACTACCTGCAAGTGGCCTACTTCAAGGTGCGGGCGCGGGGGGGGGGGCGGCGGCGGGGGGGGCGCTTTGCATCGCGCCCGCCTTTCTCCTCTCGGGAGGAGCCCGCGGCGGCGCCCGCCGCGCTGCAGCCGCACAACAACCCTGCGAGGTAGGTGCGGCTGGGCGAGCGCCCCGCGCGGGGTGGGCGGCAGGGCCCGGAGCTCGGCAGGCCGACGCGCGCATCCCCGCGCCCCACCGGCTCGCAGACCTTAGGACCCTGAGGAGCCGCCTCTTCGCTTGCTTCCCCGGCCCAGGCGGCAAGTCCCGCCACTTCATGGAAGTGCATCCTGCTCCGGCCTATATTTCCTTGCAAAAGGAGCTCTTGTCCGTTCAGTGGAACTGGGCCTACAGCTAGGATCCCCTTGCGGATAAGAATGCCGGGCTCGGACCAACCCCAACCCCGCTCCTGGTTCACAGCAGCATCTTTAAAGCACTATAAAATATGCCAATTAAAACTTATTAAAAGAATGCCAGGGCACTTCTGTGCGCAGGCCTGTGCACAGCCAGCCGTGGGCCACTGTGCCTGCAGCCCCCTGGACTGGGGAAGTCTTTGGGCTGGTTCTTTAGAGCTCAATGTTGACCTTCAGGAACATGTTTTCCTTTCCCATCTTTGCCACATGGTTGCTCTGGTCACTTGGCGTTTTAACCTTTCAGCGGCAGCACGGCCCTCCTCCTCCCTTCCTTAGGAGGAGTAGTGTGTGTGCCACGTATTTCCAGGCGAAGAACTGAAGAAGTAAAAGGAGAGGAGGGGGAAGCATCCATCATGCTCTCGGGTTTCAAATTCGCAAAACGGAGAGCTGAGGCTCTTCCCCACCCTTCGTTCCCTCTTCTGCTGCTGCTGCGTTTGAAGCTCAGTCCATTCCAGCTGGAAAGCTCCTCTTGTTTCGATGCTCTGGCATCTCCGGAAAGCTGCAATCCATCAGACAAGGTTTCATTAAATGCCCTACATTTTCACTGCCCGGGATTTGGAGACCGAAAAGGCCTGTTTCCGCTCGACGTCAATGCATGTCTGGCTGAAATGCCAGCAGGTTTTTCCAGTAGCCCAAGGCCGTCTCAGAAAGGGACGATGTAAGTTCTCCAGCTCACAAAATGGGACGAAGCTTGGAAAACATTTTCTGCCTCCCTGGTCATATTTGCATTCATTGCTTGATCTGCAAAGTCTGTCCTTTCAAGAGTCTGTCCTTTGCTTGATCTTTCAAGTCCAAGAGTCTGTCCTCTTCGCTCGTTTGAAATGTAAGCCATCCAGAGATCCACTGGGTATTGGACGGGGTAAAAATACCCAAATAAACAAACAAATAAATAAATAAATCTGAATTTCACCTCCGCTGTGAATTTCCTAGGTGGCCTTTTCATTAATTTATTTATTGCATTTCTATGCTGCTCCATAGCCAACAAGCTCTCCAGGCAGCTTGCAATAAAATAACAGCAAACAATGAGACAACGATTTGAAAGATAAAACCCGTTAATGAAAGCAGTTAAACATGTTAAAACAAGTCAAAAATTTTAAATAAAAAATGAACACTTGAAAATGTAAATACAAATCTGGTGGTCAGCAACTTAGGAAAGGCAGCAGCAGGAGCAAGAAAAGATTGATTAATCTTGAATTAATTAATACCAGTTAATTACCAAAGCAGGTGTGAAATAAAAAAAGCCTTAAGCAAACGCTTTCTCTGTTTCACTCCCTCTATTTGTAAGATGGGGGCCAGAGGGGGATTTCCTTGTGCAGCTTGTTGTCAGGAGCTGGGTTTCCCCATGTTTATGTGTGTGTGTGTGTGTGTGTGTGTGTGTGTGTGTGCTTGTTTGTGCAGATCCACAAGCTGGACAAGGCTGTGGCTGCTGCCCACACTTTCTTCGTGGCCAATCCAGACCACATGGAGATGCGGCAGAACCTGGAGTACTACCAGATGATGGTCGGTGTGAAAGACAGTGACTTCGTGGACTTGGAGGCTAAGCCGCACATGGTGAGGACAGCACTGCGAGCCCAGCACTGTCCCCCGAATCGTTCCTTTCCCCCGCCCCCCATTATTCAGACGCGTCAGTGGGGGCCGCACCGCAGTGCAGAATTCAGTCTCTCCGGAGAGAGAGTTTCCATCGGGAAACGATGTGGCCCCAGCTCACTATTTGCCTTGTCACCAAGGAGCAGGGACAGGAGCTGGAGAGCAGATGTGGAGACCTAGGGGTGCTTAATCTTTTCTCTGTCCTGCTGATCCCCCCCACCCCGAAAGCTGCCATTCCCACGCAGACCGTGTTTAATCGTTCCCTCTCATTCCTGCTCCAGCTAAACCCAGCAATCAGAAATCAGTCTTGCAGGGAGGGGCACCGATTTAAGGAAGTAACTTCTCCCTTGGCCCACCTTGCCCAGTATGGCCAGCGCAGACCAGTAGCAGGGCTCTCCATGGTTCCAGGCAGGGGTCTGTCCCAGCTGGAGATGAAGCCGGGACCCTCTGTGTGCCTGGCAGGTGTCCTGTCACTGAGTAAAGGTGTGTGGCTTCTCCAGAGTTAAGCCTTGAAATGTTTCCCACATATGATGAATGTCACCACTTTTCCTTCCCACTGAATAGGGCTACTCTTGCCCATAAACATGCGTGCAAGTTAGGCAAGTTCTCCATCTTCGCTTCTGCAGGAAGAATTCCGCCTTGGCGTGAGTTACTACACCGAAGAGAAGCCGCAGGCTGCCATCCTGCACCTGGAGAAGGCTCTGGAAGGATACTGGGCCGCCGACACCGAATGCCGAGCTCTTTGCGAAGGGGCCTACGATCACGAAGGCTACAACTTCTTGGAGTACAACGCCGACCTTTTCCAAGCGATTGTGGGTGAGTTCCGCACTGCAGAAGCAGGACCAGAGATCCTGAGCGGTGTGAAGGGGAAAGAGGACCTCTTTCTCCACGGCAGCCTAGTTCTGGTTCTTCAGCACCGAAGGCCATGTTCGGCAGGAACCGTGGCTGGGCTGAGCTGGGCTCCGGAACACCAGAACAGCCTCATTGCTGGGCTGTCCCCTCTGCCGTGGGAGCTGAGCAGCTGGCCTGCAGACGTGGCCCTTCCCCGTGGAGGTTCTTTGGACGAGCCCTTTGTAGCCCCCCTTCCTTTGGAGGTCGTTTTTCATTGAACATGAGAAATGTTCCAACAGCAAGAGCTGTTATCAACGAAAGCAATGGTCCAGAGAGGATTTTCTTCATCTTCAGGTCTTCAAACAGATCCTTCTCTGAACTGGGATTAAGATATTGGAAAGATCACCTTCACCTCTAGTTCTGGCTGAAGAGGTCCTCTTCAAAGGCCCTGCTTTATATACCCCTGCCAAGCTAAGCGAGGCTTTCTTGGTGGTGGCACCACAGCCTTTAAAAAGTCTCCCCAGAGAGGCCATTTTTATGGATGTTCCAGTGCCCTATAGAGCCCATTTTATTCACCCAATCCCGTTAAAGAATCCTTGGTCTTTCATCATGTTTATTATGTTTTTTTAATCTGACTGGAGAATTATTCCACCATCTCTCTATTTGATGGCAAGGGTTCTTTTGTTTTTAAATTGTTTTATTTTTTAAAACTTGGGAGCCACCTGAAGAATATTTATTGATGGGCAGCCATTTACATGTCACCAGCTGTTCTGTCCGCCTGCATTGAGCAGGAATAGGAAGTCTGCAAGTCAGTGGAAGAGCCAGAATGGCTTGATGGTTGGAGCACTGGACTGGGAGAACCTGGGTTCTAGTCTCCACTCATCCACAAAGGTCACTGGGTGACTTCGGGTCCGCCACTCACACTCAGCTCGACCTACCTTGCAGGGTTGTTGTGAAGATAAACATGGAGTCGAGGAGCACCATGTAGGCTTTCGGGGCAAGGGAAAAGGTGGGATATACATGCAGTGCAATAATCATCGGAATACGCTGACTGTGTCCTCCTTTTGCTGGCAGATCATTACACACAGGTGTTGAGCTGCAAGCAAGGCTGTGCCGTGGAACTCGCTTCTCAGGCTGGCCGTGACAAGCCCATCGAGGACTTCCTTCCGTCTCATTTCAACTACCTGCAGTTCGCCTATTACAACAGTAAGTCGGGGAATGGTTCCAGGCAGAAGGAGGCGGTCTGGACTTGCAGCGTTAAGCACGTCTTGCCAGCGGCGAGAGCTTAGCAGAGAGCGCCAAACTTTTAGAATGGGGACAAAGCTGATGCAAAGCCAGGGGACCCCAAATGTTCAGTAGGGGGCCCTGGAGGGCTTGAGCGAGGTCTGGGCCCTGAGGTGCCGCCTCCTGGGGGTGCTTTGCTGATTTGGAAGGGCACGGGGGGTGTCGCTCTCCGAGGCTTGCATGCATGGGAAAACATCTCCGCTGCAGGGCAAGATTTGCCATGGTTGCAGTGCGGGCTGCAGGGATGCTAAAGAAGGGAAGGTAGACCAGGCTCCGGTTTGGTGGGGAGATTTCAACCCTCTGTGTTGAGGCTGCAAGCCCCCTAGTTTGCTCTCCAGCCGCACATCCCGAAAAGGAGTCCTTGCATTCTCCTTCCCCACCCCCCCAAAAGCACTGCACTAAAAGCACCGATTGTGGTGTTTCACACTGAAAATGCCTCGCTTTTAATTTAATTGCAAAGCAAGTTTAGTTCGCTGGGAAATTTCTAGGCTGCTTTGCTTCCATCATCCAACTCAAGGCAGCATAGCCAGAGGTTCCCTGCAGTCTCCCATCCAGACACTGACTGGACCGCAAACTGCTGAGCATCCACTGCGAGTATTGTGTGTGCTCAGGCTGTTTTTGCCCTTCCTCGGCCCATGCCAAAAACAGGAGTAACTTCCTTCAGAACTCGGGAAAGTTGCCTCTATTTTTGTTTGCAAGCAAAGGACGAGATCCTTGTCTAGTTTAAGAACTGAGCAAAGAGGGTGGTTTGCAGTCATGCCGTTAACTTTACAAAGTGGGGAGAAGAAAAGGTTTGGAGGTAGACAAAATTTATTTATTTATTTATTGTTTGATTTAACACTTTTCTACCCTGTTCGCCACTGACGACTCGGGACGGCTTACCATAAAGAACAAATAAGATAAACAGAACAAGCACAGCAACTCAAGATAAAAACCCCAGTTAAAACCTACTAGGCATTAAAATAGTGGGAAAATAAAAAGGTTTTCACCTGGCACTGAAAAAAATAAAGCATCGGCACCAGGCGAACCTCTCTGGGGAGCATATTCCAGAGTCGGGGTACCACAGCAGAGAAGGCCCTTCTCCGGGTAGCCACCCTCCGAATCTCCTTCAAGGAGGGCTCCCGGAGCAGGAGGACACATAGGGAAGAAGGCGCTCCTTCAGATGTCCAGGGCCCAAAATATATGAAAGGCAACAGGCCAGTTTATAGCTATTAGCTGTGATTCCAGAATAGAACCTCCAGTTCAGAAGCAGTCTACCTGGGACAACCAGATGCTGTGCATACGAGGCTACAAGCCGTCAGTCTGTCCCAGCTGAACAATGCAGGATGCTCAGCCTTCAGACCGCGCACCGTTTGGTCAGGAGCATGTGCAGGATGCTGCCTGTTTGGTCCCCGCTGGCATTAATTTGGAGAGTGAACTCCCAGGAGCGGGTGGGGAGGGACGCAGCTTTTCCTGGGAGAGGACGGGCCCTGAGGTTTCTCGGCCTCCTCCTGCTCCTCCTCCTCCTCTCCTGAGAACTTGGCATGACGGCCGGCTCTTCTCTTCACAGGTGGAGACTATGAGAAGGCGATCGAGTGTGCCCGGACCTATTTGCTGTTCTTCCCTAAAGATGAAGTGATGCTTCAAAACCTGGCGTACTATACAGCAGTGCTTGGAGAGAGCCTTGCAAAGCTGATCCTCCCCAGAGAGGTGACTGTCCAGCCTTGCGCATTTCCCACCCGTTGGGCGCCATGAGCAAGGCAGACCGTGAGCTAGCGGGGATGCAAGAAGCCCTGGAAATAGCTGTGCAACTTGCATGCAGCCCTGCATTCTTCTAACAGGGCCTCTGTCAGCTTTCCGAGGTTTCACTTGATAAAATACTTCCGTGCCTTGCTGAGCTAAGATCTTTTTAGACAATGCCAGACACTGGGCCTGAGGAAAAGATGCTTGTGTTCTGAGCAAAATTCCCACTCTGACATACCCCACCCCGAGGGTGCCCCTAGTTCTATTTGTGCCATCACAGAATTATAGAATGCAGGAGTTAGAAGGGACCGTGAAGGCCATCTAGTCCAACCCCCTGCTGTCGCAGGACACCAAGTCACACCATCCCACTCAGAGGGCTGCCCAGTTTCGCCTTGAATGTCTCCACCACCTCTCCGGGCAGCTGGTCCCGCTGTTGTATTGCTCTGACGGTGAGGAAGCTTTTCCTGATGTCCAGCCAGAATCTGGGTTGTTGCAACTTGGCTTAATTATTCCATGTCCTGCACTCTGGCATCAGCAAGAAGAGACCATGACCTTCCTCTCTGTGACAATCTTTGAGGTGCTTATGCAGTGATATCTTGTTCCCCCCTCCCCTCAGCTAAACATGCCCAGTTCTCCCAGTCTCTCCTCTTGGGCAGTGTTTCCAAACCCTGAATCATGTTTGTCGCCCTCCTCTGGACCCTTTCTAGTTTTTCTGCATCTTTCTTAAATCTTGGTGCCCAGAACTGGGCACAGTATTCCAGGTGCGGTCTGACTAGTGACGAGTAGAGAGGAGCTGCTACTTCTCATGATTTGGAAGTAACACTAATATTAATGCATCCCAAAATAGCAATTGTCCTTTTTGCAACTGCATGGTTGGCTCATATTTAGCCCGTTGTCCACAATAACTCAAGGTCTTTTTCCTTTTCGGTTCTGTTGAGCCACATACCCCCCATCTTGCATCGATCCTTTTATTTCTTTTTCCTGCGTGGAGGACTTGGCACTTGTCCCTGTGGAATCTCATTCTGTTGCTTTCAGCCCAGGGTTCAAGTTTATTAAGATGGCCCTCGATCTTCTAGAGTGTTTGCTATTCCATCCAGTTTTCTATCATCTGCAAGTCTGATTCTCTTTCCTTGTACTTCCTCATCTGAATCAATAAGATGTTGAGGAGCCCTGGGCCCAGGACTGAACCCTGTGGCACCCCTCTCGTTACCTCCATCCAATTTGAGAAGGTGCCCTTGAAGAGCACTCTTTGTGTGCGATCTAGCAGCCAATTTTGGATGCTCCTAATGGTTTAAACCGCTGTGCTGCTGGGCTGGTAGATCAAAAGGTTGCCGGTTCGAACCTGCACAGCGGGATGAGTTCTCGTTGCTCCGTCCCAGCTCCTGCCAACCTTGCAGTTCGAAATCCAAGTAGATAAAAAGGTACCACTTCAGTGGGCAGGTAACAGCGTTCTGTGCACCTCGGTGTTCAGTCATGCCGGCCACACGGCCACGGAGACTGTCTGCGGACAGACACTGGCTCCCTCGGCCAGGAAATGGGGATGAGCACCGCCCCCACGAGTCAGGCGTGACTGGACCTTATGTCAAGGGGAAACCTTTACCTTTTTTAATGGTTTTTCTATCTAGTCCACTTCTTCCTAGTTTGCTTGTGCCAAAAGCTTTGCGGAAGTGGAGGCCAAGTATGTCCATGGCATTTCCACTGCCCACTGGGGAGGTTGCCCAGTTGCCCGGCTGACTGACTGGATCCCTTGGTGTCTTTCTCCGCCTTTACAGAACGTCCGGGCCTACCGACAGCGTAGCCTGCTGGAGAAGGAGCTGCTTTTTTTTGCCTATGATGTCTTCGGCATCCCCTTTGTGGACCCGGTAAGCAGAGTCCCCCTTAAGCCCATGAAAGAAATGGACCACCTCTGGTGAGGGGAAGGAAGGTCTGGTTGAGGAAAGCTGCATTTCCACAAAGAAAGGTGGAAAAGCTCCACCCCACCACCACCGCCGCCCGGTGCAGGGACGAAGTCTCCCCAGAGGGGCCTTTCGGGAGAACTGGCTCCTGGGGAGATGGGGAGCTTGGGATGTGTATCCCTGTTCTCCTGCGTTCCCTCTGGAGCTGCTGGATGGGAGTTCAGGGTCCCAGTGGGGTTTTGCTGCGGGGGGACAGACCAGGCACTGGGTCGGTGCTTAGAGACCTTGGCCACCTTTTCCTACTCCTTTGCTTTAGGATACGTGGACTCCAGAAGAGGTGATCCCCAAGAGGCTGAGAGAGAAACAGAAGTGAGAACTCTTTTAATTTACTATATGCATCGTTTATTTATAATATTGATATCCCAACTTTTTTCATACATACAGCTTACATAATCTCCTCCTCCTCCTCCTCTCAATCTTATTTGCACAACAACCTTGAGAGGTAGGTTGTATATGTAAATGAAATAGGTTAGGCTAAGAGTCAGGGACTGACCCAAAGTCACCCAGCGAGGTTTGTGGCTGAACTGGCGACTAGCACACAGATCTCCTGGGTCTTAGTCCAGTATTAGAAACATAGAGTCAGAATGAGAATCAGAATCATCCTGCTGTCCACTGCAGGGGAAAAAAGGTCACGTCCCACCTCTGTGTGCCCCCCCCCCCTCCATGTACCTGTATATTGCTAACACGTCCCCTCGGAGTCTCCTCTCCTCCAGGCTGAAAAGACCCAGTTCCCTCAGTCTCTCCTCATATGGCCTCCCCTGCAAACCAGCCACCATCCTAGTGGCCCTTTGTTGCACCGATTCCAACCTGGCTGCATCCCTCTTGTAACGAGGGGCCCAGAACTGAGCACAATACTCCAGCTGCGGGTGCACCAGAGTCGTGCAGAGTGGCGGTAACACCTCTCCTAGAAGCCGCTCTTCTGGCCATGCATCCAAGGGTGGCGTTCGCCCTCCTGGCTGCTGCGTCACACGGCCGGCTCACGTTCAGCCTGCTGGTATTTGCCTTTCTTCGAGTCCAGCAGGGCTGTTCTTCCTGGGTGCCATTTGGCTTGGACCCCGCCTTAACTGCTGCCGTGTCTTTGTTGAGTGTAGACGTGTGTGCAGCTTTGCACAGTGCTGAGGAAATGAATTCAGATTATACGGAAATGATCGATGGTCGGATGAGGGCTGACCAGTGCCCGGCCGAGGTCCAGCTTCAAAAATGGACCAGCAGCCATACTGGAGAACCCAGTCTGCCTTCTGTCCTTCCTCTCTGTGAAACCCTGTTAAAAGGTTTGGCAAGATTGCACCACAGACCATCCCAACCGGATCATCGGGGGCCGTCCCCAAACTCCAACCTGATTCCCCTGCTCCTGAGCCCCCCGTCCTGGCCGGGGCCACTCATGAGGGTCTTACCTGTTGGCCTTTGGGCACACTGCCCCTTCTGTCCCTGCCTCCCCTCCAGGGTGGAGCGAGAGACGGCGGCTCGCATCTCGGAAGAGATCGGCAACCTCATGAAGGAGATCGAGACCCTGGTGGAGGAGAAGACCAAGGAGTCCACGGACCTGAGCAAGCTCGTGCGGGAAGGTCAGCGGGGCCCTGGCGGGACAGCAGAGGGGCCGTGCCCACCGGGCTGGGCGCCAGCGTTTGCTCCCCAGCCCTGGGAGCGGTCCTCCAGCCCACACCGCTCCTCGCTTCCCCCCCGCAGGAGGACCTTTGGTGTATGACGGGCTCAGCGTCACCCTGAACTCCAAGCTGCTGAATGGCACCCAGCGGGTGGTGGTGGACGGAGTCCTCTCGGAGGAGGAGTGCCGCGCCTTGCAGAGGCTGACCAACGTGAGTGCCGCCCCCCAGCCGCCTGGCGCGAGCCCCGTCCGTGCCCCAGCTGGTGGCAGCTCTCCGGGCGAGGGCCCAGGCGTCTGGCGCAGCTCTGCTTCCTGCGTTGCTCTTCTCGGCCGTGGTTGGCCCTGGAGCTGCCCGGGGTGGCATCTAAGGCTCTGCTCCGCCTTTTCCAGCATTGCTCAGCTTTTCCACCTCATACTTGAACCCGTGACTTGTGCTACAGCGCTGCAGAAATAGCGGAATGTAACCATCTCTTGGCACTATCTTCTGCATCTTCCTGTTGTGAAAACATACCATGGCTTTTAGCTCATAGGCTGCCATTTCCTCTCTCTTTTTCCAGAAAGGGAGAAAGTTGAATGCTCCCAGTTCTGGGTTGCAACAAACCAGCACTTCCCATCATTTCCTTGCAACAAACCATGATCTAAAACCATGGTCTGTTCCTGAGTTTTTGTAACCAGTCTTTGTTGGCTTGAGCAAAGCACAGTTTTGCGTATTTGAGCTCCCGGGGTCCTCGTACATGAAGGGGAGTGGAAGGGCAGCGTTGGGCATGCAAGCTGACTAGGCACACACATTTTCATCGCCGGACAGCCTGGTTTCCCCTGATGCCCATATGGGGCCATCCAGTTGCCTTTTCCTTTTGAGGTGCAAAGGGCAGGATCAGCCCGGCTCAATCCATAGGCGAAGGAAGTGGGGAGCGATGGTCCTTTCATCCCTCACCATTGGCCATACCAGCTGATGGGAGCTGGAGTCCAGTTCTTCATAGCTTGATTCCACAGGAAGCTGTTGACCGCTTTGAACGTTACTTAAGTTTGATAATGAGCTGGATGAGGCCAATAGAGGTGGAGGGTGGAATGCAACAGGGCCAGAGGTCAGGTCAGGAACAAGTTAAGTTCAGACACCCTTCAGGCATGGCCGGAGGCAAAGGCAGAGTCAGAAAACACTGAGGGCTAGATACTTGGCAAGGGTGAGTGGGTCTCAGGGCAACAGCAGAACCAGGGGCCAGCAAGGGGAGGGAGCAACGGGGCGTGGGGGAACCAGCGGCAAAGGGGAGGTCAGGAGCAGATAGCAGGGGCCGGGCTGTGGCTGGAAGGAGTCAAGACGGGCACCAGGACCTGGGCACCAGAGTCAGAATTTTTGGGGCCTACTAATGGGGTCAGAAGCCCAGCCACGGTCAACGAAGAGGACAACGCCAGGAGCTGGAGTGCAGTTCAGCAGAAGCCCACAGCACCGTTATGAGCACACCAAAAGCCAAGAACCGGGAAGGTTGGCTGAGCAGGGACCTGAGAGGGGTAAGCAGGCGGTGTTCAGTGCAGGAGGAAAGCGGCAAAGCGCCGAACATCAGGGAAAAGGATCCGGCAACAGGTAGGGGCTGGAACGTGCTTGGCCCGTGTCGCTAGGCCAAGACGAGGCACAGCAGCACAGCAAAGATGCAGGCAAGACCCGGGAGCTGAGACGCCTTCTGTCAAGCCAGGAAAACTCTCTTGCTAAGGCTGCCACTAGTGGGGAGAGGCTGCTGCTATGCAGCTCTTCTCTCTGGGCCCCCAGCTGGGCCCCAGACTGATCCTGCAAGGACTGCGCTGGCCATTCCTGTCCTGGCCACCAGATGTCGCTCCAGCGCTGCCCGGATCCTGCAGCCTGGAGGGGACAAGAGTTGAGCTGGGACCAGGGGCTCCGTTGGGTGACTGGAACCAGAACCAACTCCAGTCGTGGCAGGATCAGGCCCAGGTCCTGCTGGGCACCAGCTGGAAGGCTGAGAGAAGAGCTGTGGAAGATCCAGCTGGTCCCCCAATTCCTGTGTCTCTCCTAACCCTCGCCTGACGCGCTGCGCCTCGCTGTACCCTACTTTATCTTGCATCATCTTGCCCTGCCTTGCTCTCTCGGCTTCCTTGCTGCACCTTTTGCTGTTCAGGCACCCTTGCTGCCCATCCTGCCTTGCTTTATTTTCCCGGTTCTGGACGTGTGGCCTGTTCACGACCGTGTCTTTGTCTTGCCGCCTCCTGACACGTGTGTCTGGTTTCCTGATCTCAGCTACTCCCTTGACTTCGGCCCTTCTCGGGCTCTCCTGCTGGACTTGGGACTGTGTGGGAGCTCTGTCCTGCTTCGGGTCCTGGCGTTCCTGTTCTGCTTCCTGCCCCCTGGACCCTGATAGACAGGATATTTGCGGGGAGACCGACTTACACGGCTGTATGAAGTCTGAATTTAGCGCTTCTCTGCGCCAGGCCAGAGATGCTCCTGGCTCCCTCCCAGGGCCGGAGTCTGACCTCTGCCGCCTTCCCCTGCAGGCCGCTGCCTCCGCTGGGGATGGCTATCGGGGGAAAACCTCCCCTCACACGCCCAGCGAGACTTTCTATGGCGTGACTGTCTACAAAGCCCTCAAGGTAAGCCCGTGAAGGAATGAGGCGAGGGCTCCGGTTTCCAGAAGGGTGGAGAAGCCAGGGCAGAGGCGCAGTGAGGCGCGTTGGTGCCACTGTCCCCGTGCGTGAAGGTGGACGGACTCCTCGCAGATCATCGGGGAGAGGGGCTGGGCCGTCAGACCGTCCCCTCTGTGCTCTTTGCCTCTGCAGCTGGGACAGGAAGGCAAGGTGCCTCTGCAGAGCGCCTACCTCTATTACAATGTGACGGAGAAGGTCCGACGCGTGATGGAGTCCTACTTCCGCCTGGACGTCCCGCTGCATTTCTCCTACTCCCACCTGGTCTGCCGTACTGCGATTGAAGGCAAGTGAGGCACCCGCCTCCGTGCGCCTGGGGCAAAGCGAGGGCTCTCTCGGCATTTTGCAGAGCCGTTCATTGCTGTTCTCCGCTTTAGCTGCTCTAAACACCTGATTAATGGTTCTGGGCTTCTGTGATATTTTTGTTGCCTGTTGTCGTTAGTTTTAAGGATCACGGTAAATGGTCAGAAGAACTTCAGGTATGGGGTGATATAGAAATGAAATTAATAATATTTCATAATACTAATAATTGTATTATTGAAATACAAAAATAAATAATGTAGTAACTGAAATTTCCTTACTGTTCCTCCCCTTAAGAGGCCTCCACTCTGATCATTAGAAGTCCTACTTCTTTTTCTTACCTCCGATCTTGACTTGCATCCTTTCCGAGCGTACAATGAGGACTAGAAACCTGCAGGGCTGTTTTTAATGAAATCTGCAAGATGCTGTTCTGCAGACTGCAATTGCAGGGGGACGGGCTGCCTTTGGGTCGTGACATCTCAGTTCCTGCCTGTCCCCCACACAGACAAACAGGCGGACCGGACGGATCCCAGCCACCCTGTGCACGTGGACAACTGCATCCTGAACGCGGAGGCCTTGGTGTGCCTTAAGGAACCGCCCGCGTACACGTTTCGCGATTACAGGTAACTCTTGCAGAGCACGTAGGAAGGGGCCCCGTTCCCCACCACTGCTGGCCACCCCCAGGCCTTGCTGTGATCTTGTGAGGCTTCCAGCCCCTTTGGAGAGTGACAAATGCCCCAGAACTTATTTCAAATAGCGGGCGCGAAAGCCTTCCAGGCCCCCAGGTTCCTCCTCTTTCTCCCACTGCCGGGCTCGGCTCGGCCAGCCAGCCTCGGCGCAGCTTTCTCACCCGTTCGGAGAGGTCGCCTCGCTTCCCCTGGGGCTTGCAAACGTCGCCCAGGGAGGAAGCGGGGCGGTTGCCTCAGGTGGAGAGAGCTTCCCCTTGCTGGCACCTGAAATCCTCAGCCACGTTCTCCTTCTGGGGCTGCGTGCTGACTTGGGAGCGCAAGCGAGCGCCCGGCAGAAGCTCCCCCTCCGCTTGGAGGGGATGCCACTTGTGGGGCGTGGTTCTGCGTCGTGGGCTCCCCAGCCTGGGCTTCCGCAGCGCCGGCCTTGCCCACCCTCCTGAACCCACCGAGTGCGGTTATCCAGCGCTTTAGCGTCTGTTGCCACAGATAAGCGGAAGAAACGCAACTCTGCTCCTCCGCCGCAGCCGGAAATCTGCTTTGCTGGGTAAACGAAATGGGGGCCATAAACCCAAAGTCAGTCTGGCAAGAGCGAGAAGCTGCGAGGGGGCGGCTGACCCGATGGAGGGTGGTCAACCTGTCCTGGCTGGTGTTGTAGGAGCAGGATCGCCGCTTGGAGGGTCTCCTGAAGTTGACATCTTTGCCTCCAAGTATTTAATTAATTGGAGTATTTAATTAATTGGAGTATTTAATTAATTAATTGGAGTGTTTAATTAATTAATTAAATACTTTCGTATGCCATCACCACATGCCTTGGCATCTCAGGACAGCTCACAATACCACCCAATTAAAATACAATAAAATGATCTTTATAAATAACAAATTCAATAAAGGATTACATAAAGACCAAAAACAGAAAAGAGTGACTGTTCAACGACAAAACGTTAGTTTTTAAAGTAGCAATTAACTGAAAAGGTTTTAACCTGTGCTCCCACAAATCCTCACCCGCCAGCACACCTGAAGCCATCGCCTTAGCAAACGGCATTTCCACCGGTTGTGCTGTCACCGCTCCTGCACGCAAAGCGTAGTTGCTCGTTCGCTACTCCCAGACCTGGTCCCCTTGATCGACGGCCTCACAACCCTGCTTTTTGTCTAACTTCAGTGCCATCCTCTACTTAAATGGCGATTTTGAAGGAGGAAACTTTTACTTCACTGAGCTGGACGCTACAACGGTGACAGTGAGTTTATTAGATTTATTTCTTTGATTTATGTCCTGCCTTTTTCTTCTTTAAGGGACTCAGAGTGGCTTGCATCATTCTCCTTCTGCTCCGTTATTGATAATATTTCTATTATTACCACATATTACCACAAAATGCTCTCAAGGCAACTCACCAGATAAAAATAGCACATATTTACTATTATTACTACTACTAGTAGTAGTAGTACTATTGCCATGGATTAGTGTTACTGATCCATGGCAATTAGTAGTACTATTGCCATGGATTAGTATTACTACTAGTAGTATTATTACTACTAGTAGTATTATAGTAGTAGTAGTATTGCCGTGGATATTCCAGTGAATAAAAGATAGCGACAAAAGGGCCATTGTGTCCCAAATGATCTAATCAAGCCCCAAGCAAAGGGACCTGCGCAACTGCAGTCCGATTCGTCAGCCGTCCTATTAAATAAATATTATGCATGCATGGATCTCGGGGAGGAGTGGCGTTATCGGCACAGGCTGTACTTGCCCCCGGACAGAAAATGCAGCCAGTGCAAAATGCAGTGGCCAGGTTCCTTTCCGCTTCCTTGAACCCGTGACACTGGGCTCGTGCCCATTACATTGGGCACCGGTCACCCTCCAGGAGTTATGCAGGCATTTGCTTATAAAACCCTGAAATTGTGGCTGCCCTGTTTGAAAGCCTGCCTTTTCTGTGTGAACCTGCGTCTGTTTTAAGCTCTTTTTCAGATGCTCTTCAGTGGGTCCCATCGGGAGACGTTCAGCAGGTGGGAACCGGGGACGGGGCCTTCTCTGTGGAGGCACCACACTGGCCCAAGGAAGTTAGGCGGGTTCCATTTTAGCTGGACCCCTGAGCAAAAACTGCTCAGTCTCTGCCCGGTGTGACACCCACCTCTTGATGCAAGAGGCCCCTTCCTGGACTGTACCATTTGGGAATGCTGATGGGGGGAAGCAAAGGGTCCCCTTTCTCAAAGCACAGGTGGTAAAAATATGCCCTAGATGGAGAGATCAGGGGGCCACAGGTTCCCCACTTCCACCTATCCACACTTGCCCAAATAGTAGAGTCCAGGAAGGACTCTACCATGGGCGCTTCCTGAACCTGCAGCTTCAGCCTTGCAAAATGGGAAGCCGGTGTCTGCGTGTCCTTCCTCCCTGATCCCGCGTGTCTTGCCTTCAGGCGGAAGTGGCGCCCCAGTGCGGTCGGGCCGTGGGCTTCTCCTCAGGCTCGGAAAACCCTCACGGCGTGAAGGCTGTGACCAAGGGCCAGCGCTGCGCCATCGCCCTGTGGTTCACCCTGGACCCCCGCCACAGCGAGCGGGTAAGTGCCCAGGACTGCCCTTCCGAGTCGCTCCTGTCTTCACCCCCCCACCCCCCCACCCCGCTTTTCCCGTCCCACCTGTCCCTGCCCAGGTAGTGCATAGGTAAGCGGATAGCTATTTGTTGAACACAGACGATTTACGAAGCATGGCCCCCGGATTCCAGCTGGTGACACAAGGGCAGCTTTATAAGTTTCAGTGTCCCAGAAACTATAATAAAAGCGTCCAAGCTGCCGTGGCGCATTGCCTGTCCTCTGACCGGTTCTGCCTTTCCACCTTTGCAGGAGAGGATCCAAGCTGATGACCTGGTGCGGATGCTATTCAACATGGAGGAAGCGCAGCTGTCTCCAGAGCAGGGCCCGGCCAACCCTCCCCCAGGCCCGACGGAAGTGCCTGGACCGGCTCCGGCGTCAGGGAAAGACGAATTGTAAAGACCCCCTCCCTTGAGCAGCAAGAACTTTGGGGGCACTGAAAGAGGGAGAGTAACCTGTGGATCGGGGCCTTTCTCCAGCCAGTGAGGAGGACGGGTCCTCACTAGTTCCTCGGTGCCGGGGCGTACATCCCTCAGGGTGCATTTGCTCTGGCCTCCCGGGATGTGTGGAAGGCGGATGGGGGAGATCGTTCCCAGGTACCCTCTGCCCCCTCCTCTCCCCCACCCTGGCGGTTCGGCTTCTCAGAGGCCAGAATGCCTCTTTCGCCAGTACGCCATGTTGACGCCAGTTCCGTTTTTTGTATGACTATTAGGAATTGCCTCTGGTTGGAAGCAGGGAAGCCCTCCAGCAAACTGGGGGGGGGGGCTGTCAGAGTCGGGCACGTGTCCCTCTGAAAGAAGCTCCTCCCCTGGCACTCCGAGGGGCAGCCCCTGCCCTGTAGCACCCCAACTTCCCCCGAGGGAAGAGGGAAAGAGCAGGCCCGTAACTGTCGTCTGACCTTCTCCCTCGCTTCAACCCTTCAAGCACAAAGCCACCTCCGCGGGCGTCTAACCGTGTGCACTGCGAATTATCCAGTGGGTAGGAGAGTCCCCACCCCACCTCGGTGCCTGGAGATGCCACTCCACCTGGTCCCCTTAAAATTAAAATCCGTGAACGCATGTTAGAAACCAAAGAATCCCCAAGCGCACACCCTTCCAGTGCCTTCTGCACAAGCCGAGTTTTAGGGACCCCGGTCTCGGTGCTGTGGAGCGGATGGACGGACGGACATCGTTTTGATTATAGGTTAGGAAATGTTTCCTTTGCTGGGACAGGTTCTGGTTCAGCCCGAGGTGTCAGTTCGCAGCCAGCGGGCCAGCTTTGCCGCAGCAAGCGCCACGTCGTACGAGGCCCCACCTTGGCCAGAAAGCCCCCTGGAAAGACCGGGGGGCAGTCACCCTCTCCCAGCCTGGCCTACCTCACTGTGTTGTCGTGGGGAGGCAACGTGGGTATATCGCCTGGAGATCTGTAGAGGCAGGGTGCCAAAAAGTTAACCCAAGGGCAGTGTTCCTGCCCCCGACCAGCTACGGCAACTGCTGAATAAAATCTTTATTACTTTTTCAGACTAAGATGGGATTCATTGTGTAGTAACTGAAGAAGCCAAAACTGGCTGGTACAGTTCTGCCAAGGGATACTCGTAACCTACAATCACCTGATAAGTAGGCAGAATAACTCTGATTAGGTGTCCTAGCTCACAGCCGTCACTCAACCGAGGCCGCCGTGTTTCCATGGGACCATTATCCGTCCTGGTACAGTTTTTCTGTGTCCAGTATTCCAAGGTAAGCGCTGTGGTTTGTAGCCAGTAACACAAAGGAGGCGTTGGCGGTCTTGAGAAACTCCAAACCTTGCCTGAAATGCGAGAGGGGTGAAGGAAGAGCCCCAAACAGCTCAGCGATGGCTGAATATGCGCCATGGCTGTGACATCCGGATTCCTGGTTTTCCATCAATTCACCCTGATCAACGGGGAACCAGGATGGAACCAGTTGGAATGCAGTATCTTGAAGCAGAGCCCCCAGTGCCTGCTTGGAGACTCAAGTAAGACCCAGACGCTTGTAATCTGAGCTAAAACACGCACAGAATGGAGCGCTAGATGAGAGAAGCTATAAGAAGGGGATGAGAGGCCAAACTGGACCCTGTGTGAGCTCAAGGAGAAGAGGGACGGCAAGGTATATTTAGGACATGTCCTTAACAATGAGCTTTCAAGCCAAGCGGTGCAGACTGGAATTTTGTAATTCGGGAAATGGGTAGGTCTGTGAGACAAAGGGAGGTTTATGCAGACCTGGAAGAACAGCAGAGAGAGGCAAAAGAGTAGCTATAAAGCAATGTTTCTAGTGTATATAAAAGAGATACTGTGCCAGCGAATGTAATGAAAGAAAGGGGGCTGGAATAGCCAGTGGAAAAGCCAAGCTTCCCTGCAGAGGGTCTTGGTATGAAGTCCCTGGAATCTCCAGTTAGGGGGCTGTGAAGAACTTCTGTTGGGATTTGCTCCCACTTTGTGTCGGCCATATAACACAGCATCATAATGCAGTTTATTTGGGGTCTCCATAGCTCTGTGGGACCGCAGGTGGCGCAGTGGTTTAAACCGCTGTGCTGCTGGGCTGGTAGATCAAAAGGTTGCCGGTTCGAACCTGCACAATGGGGTGAGTTCCCGTTGCTCCGTCCCAGCTCCTGCCAACCTTGCAGTTTGGAAGCATGCCAATGCAAGTAGATAAAAAGGTACCACTTCAGTGGGAAGGGAACAGCATTCCGTGCACCTCCGGGTTTAGTCACACCGGCCACATGACCACGGAGACCGTCTGCAGACAAACGCTGGCTCCCTCGGCCAGGAAACGGGGATGAGCACCGCCCCAAGGGTCAGGCGTGACTGGACGTAACATCAAGGGGAAACCTTCACCTTTACATTTACCTTTTATAGCTCTGTGGAGCAGCATCTGCAGGCAATTCCCGGTTTGATCCCCGATTCCCTGGCATCTCCGGGGAGGGCTGGGATGGGAAAATGCTCTGGGGAGCCAGTCCCAGGCTGTGACTGATGCAGACTTGGAGGGACGAAAGGTTGAACCCGGTCTGAAACCGCCTTCGGGATGCCAGTAAGGAGTAATGCAATGCCCATGCCAGGAACGTCTAGAATCTGCAAACATTTGCTCCCACATCCAGCTGTGATGTGCAGTTGTGCCCTGGACTGGCCAGCCAGATGTTTCAGGGAGCCGACGGGCAGGGCGTGAAGGCAACAGCTGTCTCGGCGACTTGTCCCACAAGCAGCTAGTCTTCCGTGGCACAAAGCCCCTCAGTCTGGAAGCCTGTCCTTCAGCAAAGCCGTCGCAGCTCATGGGCCTTTCTCACTCCCCAGCAGGTGGGGCGAAGTCCGTGCTTAATCCACCTCTCATCAGTTCCATGGGATGAACCCAAATTTTAGGATTGTGGATGATGGGAGGGTGAGTTTTAGAAGTCTCTATTGTGCCCCCTTTTTAAAGTTATGGCTGTTCAACTTCAGACTAGACGTTTCTGCAGGTTTCCCCTTGTTCTGAAAGACCAAAATCCCGCTTCTTAATATTTTGTTGCTAGTAGTAAGAGAATTAATCTGAAATATTGTTGTAACAGCAAGCGGCACTCTCGGAGGGTCCAAAAAAGGAGGTCTTTGGGCCAGAAGTTTCCATCTTGTTGTGCAAGCTTTACCCTTTAGCTTAAACATGTGCTCTGCCCTCTCTACCCCTTGGAAGGGACCTCAGGGGTTAGCTCCTCAACTCGCTTCCTGAGCATCTCTGAGAAAGGCAATTATCCATGCTCTGCCTGAAGACTTCTGAAGCAAGCTCCATTCTTTCTGTAGCAGCTCTTACGGTCAGGAAGTTCTTTCAAATGCGTCACCAAGATCCCATCTCAGTCGGCTGAATCTGAGGTTCCTGTCCTGCCCTCTGGATCAGCAAGAGAACAGAGCGGTTCCATCATCCACGGGAAGCCCACCCAATGTTTCTTCCAAGCCCTGTTCTCTCCCCTTTGAAGAGGGAGTAAACACAGCATCCCCATATGCTGCTGGGTGGTGAAATTCAGGGGGACGGAAGCCAAGATCTGTACAGATCAGGCTCTGGACTAGCCCAGGGCCATGAGGATTCAGGAGTTCTTCTCTGGGTGCTGTCCTTACCCTCCACCGGACTCCGAGCTGGAAATGTTTAACTTTCCTCACTCATTAGCAATCTGCTCACGCCTTACCCTCTCACCTTAGTTGTTTGCAAGGGGGCAGCAACTGATGGTTGTGTATTGTTTACCGAGATGTTTTTTCAACGTGTGCCACAAGACCGCCCCCCCACACACACACACCCTCTTTTGTCATGGAACATCACAGAACTCAGGACAGCAGGAGGCTGAGCTCCCTTGTCTGGACCTGCAATGCCTTTCGGCTGCTCTTAAAGGTGGTCCAGAAACAGCAGCTAATACAGACCGTAGCAGTACTATTTATTCTAGTTCTATCTCAACCTTCAAGGAAAGTTGCGGTGGCTTGCAGAAATCTCCTCAATCTTATCCTCACAACAACAAACTGAATGCAATAGGCTGGGCTGAGAGTCTGTGACCAGCCCAAAGTTCCACTCGTCTGGCTGGCCAGCGCTCTCTCATCCAGTCCCGTGCTCTTAACCACTGCACCGCACAGCTATCTGGATAACATCTCGGTGGTCTTCAGGCAACTTTGTGGGTTTCTTGCCCACCTCCGGGTCCAGTGCACGGTGCTGGGTTTAATATCCATGGCCCCCAAATGGGCTAGACCTAGGATATATCAAGGAATGCCTTTTCCCACACGAACATAGTTGGAGATCCTCTCACGGATTCTTGCACTTCCGTGACAAGGTGCAGAGGGAGGGTATAAACCGGCATATGGCCTTGGGAAGCTCAGCAAGTGCTCACCTGCAGCACTCAGCTTTGTTCTCACTTGTATTTGCCCAGATTCTTTTAAAAGGCCCCGTAGTTCAGCTGAACGTCGTGTATTCTTTGCCCGTGTGGCATATTTCACAATTCTTGTGAGCCACTTTCTGAGGGTCCCTGCGGAAAGATCACATGTAAGGGCATTTCCCTGGCCAACAAGGTCAAGAGGTCGTGCACATAATTGTTTTCCTGATCACTGTGCATGGGTGTGAAAGCTGGACAGTGAAGCAAGTGGGAAGGGGAAAATCGGACACGTCAGAAACATGGTGCTGGGGAAGAGTTTTGCAAATACCCCGAACCGACAGAAAGATGAACAATTGCGTCTTGGACTGAATCAGGCAGATCCCTGGAAGCACAAAACCAGAAACATGACTTCGGGCACATCCTGAGAAGACAAAACTCCCGGGAGAAAGCAGTCACGTGAGGCAAATTTGGAGGCAGAAGGCGGCCAGCCAGGAGATGGACTGACTCCACCAAAGACGCCACTGCCTTGAAATTGCAACAGGTGAGCGAGGCTGTTGCGAATGACACGTTTTGGAGGACTCGCATTCTGGGGGTCACACTAAGTCACAATGCACAACATGCCTGCAGAGAGGTAGAGAAATGCTTCAAATCGTTAAGCCATGCGGGTGCAGTCCCGGCGTGATGATTTCTAGCAGTGGGGCAGGGCGAGAGGGGTCCAGGGACGGTTCCCAGGAGTGGGGCCCATCCTGAGCTTTGCACAGCATCCTAACGTGTAGCCCCGAACCGGGGCTTCCGCTGAAGCCCGTGGCACGCTGTATCTCTTGCATCCGTGCTCAGCTGTTTCAGGGGCAACCGAAGAGTCCTTTGCAAACCGCTTTAGGCAGGAATGCACCGGGCATGGTTTGAATTTTGGCCTTTCTCCAGTTCGCCCGCTGCGGAGTAGGAACAGCAGCGTGCAGTGTGCCACGAGAAAGGCTGTTCTCGCCGAGACGCACAGCAGAATTCTTCCTCTGCACCTTTGCACGCATATTTGCAGTGGGGGCGGGGAAGAGCGCAAATTGAGGTGGCAGGAAGCAAAACGCTCCGAGCATCCTGTGTCAATGAAGTTTTTTGTTTACGAATGCAGCCCACCCGGATTCCAGCACACATGCCAGGCGGCCCCCACAAACAGCAGGGCACAAAGCAGGCCTTGCAGTGCGAGCGAAGGAGAGCGAAAGGTTACGCTCATTAGCATGCAGCTCAGGACTGCTTTGCAAAGGGCAGGAGTTGAAGAAATTGGGGTGGGGGCAGGGAGCAGATCACGGCTGAGAGACACGGTGTCCTGAGGCCCTGATCCTGCAACGGGAGCCACCTGTGCATGCAGCTCCCCCACCCCTGCACATCAGACGCAGCCTGTGTGCATCTGGACACGTTCCTGGTGCCCAAGCTGATGCAGGCTCACAGCACATGGACGGCATTGCCTTGCAGGGATCCCAGCCTGGCTGCATCAAGGAAAACGCATCTAACACCATGCCCGGGCTCCATATCACATTGTTTCAGCAGAACAGCTTGATGACACCGGCATTTTTCTCTATACAAATGATTTACGGGTAATTTTCGACTCTTGGATTAATATCCTGCCTTTTTTTCCTCTTGTGTGGAACTCAAGGTGCCTCGCCCAGTTCCATGTTATCTTCACAACAACCCTGTGAGGTAGGTTGGGCCAAGGGTCTGTGACTAGCCCAAAGTCATGTGGTGAATGGTGGGTCCTCAGTCCCCAGCTCCCTGAGGCCTCCCCCTACCTAGTTAGATGGTTATGCGCATATGCTTTGAAATGTGGCAAGCCGGTGGTGTGGCAATTTCTGCAGAGCACCGTTGGCCTTGCTGTAGTCTTGCGATTTACCCTGCTCTTTCTACAGGCATGTGATCCCAAAGGGAGCGAATGGGGCTGTGAACCGAGAGGGGCTTCTGAAAAGAGGAGGCTGCCCGCTGCAGCTCTGCATGAGTCCCTGCTCAGCTCTTGCCTCCCTCAGCCTCTGGAGCAGAGGATGATCCTGTCGCGCTGGGCCGCTCCGCCATCCCCGATACGTCGAAGCAGCCACCACCCGGCCTCCTCGGCGCTGCATTTCCTCGCCGCCGCGCCCTCCAGGAGAGCCTGGCGCAGGAGCGGCAGGACGGAGCGGGAGCGTGGCAGCCGGGTGAGCCGCGTTCCCTCTCTCTCGAGAGAGGATGCCTGTCCTCCTGGGACCGGCACCGGGGTCTCCCACCCCCATTCCGGGGGGCTCAGCTTGGAGGACCGCTCCCGCGGCGCCCTTCCCCGCGAGGCGGGCCGGCCCGGGGCCACGCCCTCCGGGGCCCGGCGCTCCCCCGCGGGAGCATCCCCACGAGCGCCCGCCCCGCCCCGCCCCGCGCGGGAGC